GTTCATCAGAAATAAATCGTCATGGACATGTATCCTAACATGTATAATCTATGTACCAAGTTTGAATGACAACTGACAAAGCATGTCCAAAATACAACATTTTCAAAAAACGGGATGGCTGCCAATCGGCCATTTTGAATTGAATCGCTAAACTACTGCATGTGCATATGTCCCACATAAGGTACTAGGCACATGCAAAGAATGAACGTAATCGGTCCACAGGATTCTAAAATATGACGGACAGACTGACGCACGGACACACGGACGGACGGACAGACTCAGGAACTCACGGACAGTCGGGGACATGTATCCTAACAATTATGATCTATGTACTAAATTTGAATGAAAACTGACAAAGCATGTCCAAAATATTACATTTTCAAAAAACAAGATGGCTGCCAGTCGGCCATCTTTGCTCCAATTGTGAAATAAATCATCATGGACATGTATCCTAACATGTATAATCTATGTACCAAGTTTGAATGAAAACTGACAAAGCATGTCCAAAATACAACATTTTCAAAAAACAAGATGGCTGCCAGTCGGCCATTTTGAATCAAATCGCTAAACCACTGCATGTGCATATGTCCCACATAAAGTACTAGGCACATGCAAAAAATGAACAGAATCGGTCCAAGGGATTCTGAGATATGATCCGGACGGACGCACAGACGGACGGAGACCGAATTATAAGTCCCCGTTTTCGGACTTCGTCCGAACGGGGACTAATAAACAGACAACAGTGGATTTGAAATTCATGTTAAGCTAGTTATTGTGTTCTCACTATGCCATATTATCCTAGTATGCTTTACTGTGTGTTAGGTGTTTAATTCTGGATGAAATCTTCTATTTTGACAAAGACGAGTCACTTCCAAACAAATTTTTATACAAGTTTTATATTTAGCGCTTTATTTCATTTACTTATATTAAATGTCAAACAGTTATGGAGCTTCAAGGCTGATCTAATATAATAGAGTAATACCTTATTGTATCAGTATGATTATACAACAATAATGTAACCCAATATCCAAGATATGGGCATTAATTGGAATGATACATTTTAGTCTTAAGATTGAACATGTCACAAAATACTAACCAATCAGATGTCGAGTAGCCTTTCCTGATATCTGCATTGTAACGTTGGTGAATCCTAAATCATTCATGTCTGAAATATAGGAAAACAATTATTTTCAGCTGCTTTGCCTATGGCAAATACATAAAAGTGTTGTTGTCATGATGATTCTTCAAACCCAAATTGGTGTATATTTTGATTTCTGGCTATAATTAATAGCTTTATGCATGAATGTATAAGCAGATCGTAACAGATTGCTACAGCTATTATTTGTTTTGCAACATTATAATCATATATTACAACAAAATTCAAATGACCATCCAAACCATTACAAAATTTCTAAAATTAATTTTAATAGTGTCATAACTGTACTGTATCTAACAGAAGTGCACATAAACAAATACATTTGTTGAATACAAGATACCTCTGTCATTTACGTACATGTTGTAAGTGCATGCACTACTAATAAAGCAAATACAGTATCAACGGTTGGCATTGTCACACATGGTGCCTGTACAATATTGCTTAGACTGTGACTTTCTGAAAATGATTCACCAAACACTACTACAGCCATAGATACATTGAGGTTTCATTCACATTACTATTAATATCAAACTATAAGGTATTTTGTATTTTAGCCATATAAAGTAACTGTGATTAACTGCTTTGAAATCAAGGATGCAAGAAAACACAAACTGGATATACTAAATACTGCCAAGCCCTTTTTCGGCGTAATGTTGAGTTGAACGAACACAATAGCGTAATGAACACACTTACTGTCAATAATGAACTGATCAAGATCTGTTGCCATAGCAATAGCTGTTTGTCCAGCAGATTTGTCTATACATACAATTTGTATTTTATTCTCTCTTGTCTTAGATG